TTTGTTCTCTGTATTTAAGAGTCTCTTATGGTTTACCTTCCTCTTTGTTTTGTTTATGTTATTTTTCCTTCCCTTCCCCTATGTTCATCTGTTGACTTTCTCAAATTCCATATATGAGTGAAATGTTTATTTTGAGAGAGAGAGAGAGAAAGGACAGAAAGAAAGGGAAGAAAGGAAGGAAGGAAAGGAAGGAAAAGGAAGGAGGGGTGGATGGAAGAATCCCAAGCAGGCTCCATGCTGTCAGCGCAGAACCCTATGTGGGGCTCAATCCTAAGAACCGTGAAATCATGACCTGAACCAAACTTTAAGTAGGCTCCACGCCTAACATGGCTTGAACTCACAACGCTGAGATCATGAGTTGCATTATCTATGGACTGGGCCAGCCAAGAGCCTTGTAATGCTATTGATTTTTATATATCATATCCATCAACCTTCATATGTTGTCTTGTTAGTTCTGATAATTTCTAGATTTCCCCATTAGAGTGATTGTTATTGAAAGTAATGACAATGTTACTCTTTCTTTTCCAACTAACACTGCTGCCTCATTACTGTTTCTTGTGTTGGTTAGGCTCTCCTGTATAGTATTGAATCGAGGCATTGAGAGTGGGCCTCCTCATTTTATTCTGAATTTTAAAAAGTGCTTTTCAAGTATTACTAACTTTGATATCTAGTGTTAATTTTTGCTAATTATCCTTTAATAGGTTATGGGTGTTCCCTGTTACTCCTAGCTTTTAAAGAGTTCTGTGGGGTTTTTGTTTTTTAATTCATGAAAGGGTGATCTAAAAACAAAGTAGAATTAAAATAAGAGACAACAGTAAGTACAGAGTGAGTTCAAAGTGGAAGCTTTCTAGGAGATATCTGTCTGGCAGCTGCTTTGCTGAATCTCTTGGAAGTTGTAAAGGAAAGATATCTTAGATGTACCAGATGAAGCCTTCATCTTCTCAGCTCCCCACTTGGAACCTGAGATTTTAAATTACCTGGTACATACAAGGTCAGGACTTTGTCTCTTAACTACAAATTGAAAGGTTGAGATTTTAAATTACATGAGAATTTACTTTCCTCTTCGTGGTAATATATGCTTGTAAATGCTTTACCATGTGTGAGGTATTGTTCTAAGCACTTTTTGAAATGACTTATTTACTTTTTATAAAACACCTCTATGAGTAATGTCTTATCCCCAATTTCAGATGAGAAAACTGAGGCACAGAGAATAAGTAACTTGTCTCAAGTCCCAGGTAATATGTGGCTGAGCCTGCACTTGTAAATGTGATACTGTCCTGCTTCTCTTGCTAATAAAGGCAAATAAGAGCTTTCTGAAGGGGAAGAATTATTTTGTTTTCACTAAAATAATTTTATGAATGACTCATTGCAGCTTCAGTAATAAGGTCTGTAAAATCTAGAGAGTGTAGCATTTCTTGTAGTTTTCTAATTTGTTTCTTTCCGTTGTCAGGTTTGCCTTTTCACCATTGTCTGAGGAAGAGGAAGAAGATGAACAAAAAGAACCTATGCTAAAAGAAAGCTTTGGTAGTGATAAAATTGATTTGTGCTTTAAATATTATTTTCTGGTTTTTAGAAATAGAGTAAAGCAAATATAACAGTTTGTGAGTATCAAAATCAAGATACTTTGATACAGTTTATTATTTTACAACTGTTGTACAATTGTTTCTCAATTTGGTATGTGGTGAAGTTAGGGGGAATCAAAAGTAAGGGTATAAATATTAAGGTGAAGCCATGATAAATTCAGTGAATAATTGCACAGTAAATGTACACTTTGCTTACTGGATGAGCTGGAAATTTGGCTTTGAACTTCTAGCATAAAAGTAGAGAAATAGCTGTTGTATAAATCAGGGTCCATAAACCTAAAGTTCTGAATCCATGTTTGAAATTATTGCTGGTCTCTGATACACTTAACCCATCTACTTTGTTTTCCCTCTGCAGAAGGAATGAAAATGAGAAGTACCAAACAAGAACCAAATGGAAATAGTAAAGTAAACAAAGCAGTAAGTAATTGTATATAGGCCTTAATGATTTTTTAGATCTATGCTGTAATTAAGCTTGCTTTATACATCTTTTAATATATATTACATTTATTTTTAAAAACAGAAACAGTAAGTGATTCTCATTCTAAGATCTAGTTACCTTTAACCTAGTTGGTTTGTTACCGTGTCCTGAAAAGGCACCTCAGACTAGTCTGATGGTTCTATTTAATTGTTTTCATCAATGGAAGTTATAGCCCTGTTAACCTAAGATGCTATTTGTAGTAAAGATCAAGATTTTTTTTCATTCAGCAGTTTCTTGTTTGTTTTTTAGAACTATGCATGCAGTCTACATTAAGGGCTTTAGAATTTATCTCACTTTTAAGGAGCAAAACTTACAGGAAGCAAACTCTTAGGTATTGGAACATTGGGAAGAAAGCATTTAAAGACATAATTTTATATTTCACTTACATACTTATATTACACTTACATGGATTTTTTAAAGTATTGACTATATAATTTTTTAAATTATTAGCAGTCACAATTCACAATTGTTATGTGAATATACTACTTCAGAATTCTCAAAAGATTAAGTTTAAAAATGTTGAGACCTCTTTAGATCCTTACTTGACATGTATTATCTGGTGCATTTTAGTAACCACTGGTATTTGTATGTTTCCAGCAGGAAGATGATTTGAAATGGGTAGAAGAGAATGTTCCTTCTTCTGTGACAGATGTGTAAGTTTTTGAATTGTTATCATAAGAATCCTATTTCAGTTAGTATAACTTTTATTATTTTAAGTAAATGAGCTGAAGAACATGCTAATGCGAATGCTAATAGAAAATTAAAGAATATTAAAAATGTTAAAAAGATGTTAAAAATAAGGAATGGTATACAAACAATCAGGATTATATGTTCAGATGACATTTCTGCTTAGAAAGATTTAGCTGTACACCTTCCCAAAATCATTGGGATAATCCTTTTGAGATTTTTTTAGTTCCATGACTATATTTTTGACTAAATATTGGCCCTGTTACAGTGCAGGACATGGTTTTTCTCTGTACCATTCCAGTAACTCTTCTGTTTTCATATTTGCTTTTTTCCCCCTGAAGTGCCCATTAATAAGATGCAGATCTTAATTATTGAAAGGGCTTTAAATTGTATTCATAATTTCCTTTATGAACCATTTATGACTTTACGTTGTTCATTTTGGTATTTTCCTTTCTGCAGAGCACTTCCAGCCCTTCTGGATTCAGATGAGGTTAGTAATCAAATCATGTGCATAAACTGTGGGTCTCATGATTTAATAGGGAATCATAGGTCCTTTGTTCAGGGGAATTTTATTTATTTGACTCAGTAACGGCCTGAAGGACTGTAGTTGGTATAGTTGAAAAAGGATGAGAATAGAAATACCAATATTAGAACCAAGATATTATTCAAGAAGGTTTCCTTTCTGTACCTGTCCCCTATTTCTTTTCCAAAGTTTTATGATCAGATTTGAGGACAGGTCTTTTGTTCTGAATATTAGGTTATTCTAGTATCCCTTGATTTTTGAATGTCCTTTGAAAGCATCGGCCTGAATCCAACTTACTTTGTTGGATTGGCTGCTAAGAAAAATTGTTCATTTCCCACTGACTTGCTGTGTGATGCGGCATACAATGTCAAATTCCTTAGCAGTTCTATGCATTGAAATAATTGAGAACTCTACCATTTAGAATTAAACCTATCTTTGTAACACTTGCTTTCTGTGGTATATTCTGCAGTTCCTAGATCTCCCTGTTGTGGGCTTCTGCTAATAGTTTGCCCTCAGAGCTTCCTTTTGACTTTAGCTCTCCAGCCATCGCTCTGTTTCAGTCAAAGAAGGCTGAGTATGTGAAACCTGGTTGGGCAGTTCACTACAGGTTTATTACAGTACTTTTGGTTATATCGACTTCACCTATCTGTTCATATTTCCCTGTGTGAAAAACCTATTCAAGAACTAAGAACTTAAATGAATTACAAGAGAAACACGTTTTAAAGGACCAGGAATCAAAACAGCATCAGACTTTGTGGCCTCAGTTTTGGAAGCTAGAAGATAATAGAACAATGTCTTTGAATTCTGAGGAAAATTATTTTCTTTTTTTTAATGTTTATTTATTTTTGAGAGAGACAGAGAGCACAAGGAGGCGAGGGGCAGAGAGAGGGGGAGACACAGAATCTGAAGCAGGTTCCAGGCTCTGAGCTGCCAGCACGTGAGGCTTGATCCCACAAACCGTGAGATCATGACCTGAGCCAAAATGGAACGCTCAACCAACTGAGCCACCTAGGCCCCTGAGGAAAATCATTTTCAACTAAACTGTCAGTATGAGGGTAAAATAAAGATGTTTTCAGTCATGCAAAAAATAAAATAATTAACATTTATATGTGCTTTCTCAGAAAAGTAATAGAAAATGTTCTTTATAAATTGAGAGAACTAAAAAGAGAAAGACTTTGGATTCAGGAAATAAAGGGTCCAACAGAGGGGCAAGGATAAACTCCCAGGATGATGATGTAAGAAACTCCAAGACCATGGGGCGCCTGGGTGGCGCAGTCGGTTAAGCGTCCGACTTCAGCCAGGTCACGATCTCGCGGTCC